CACACCATAGTACAATAAAAGTAAATGTATAGAGCACAATTGAAAACATCCTCAAGACAACAGGCAACACCCAAGACAACAACACCCAAGGTAGGATTCACCTAATGAACCCCATCATCAGAAGCCCTTCCCAGGGGCTTCCACTTGTTCAGTGGGGTTTCCACCCTCCTCCCACCATTGCTTTCTTGGCAACATGGGTGCAAAAGTAAAGTCAGTGGCATACTTTGGGTTACGTTCTGTTTATTTCCCCCTTTCTCCCTTCTCAGCCCAGTCTTATTTTTACCGTGCGTGGGACACCTCAGGGCAAAATAACAAAGGTATCTATGACTTAGTCATTATAGCTTATTTATGAATGGATGGATGCACATTATTTTGATTAGGAGGGAGTCAATTTTCAAGAGTTTTAAGAGATGCCCACCCTAGCATTGGCAATTCATCAAAATAAACTCTTGATGAGAAATTCTCATATCTAAATCGAGAAAATTAAGAGTAAGTTGTGTGTAGATGCAGACACAAACGCAGAGATACGTCCATTTAATAACAAGTACACAGTATCAAAAAGTGGCTAAATAAAGGCATTCAAGTGGTTGATGGAAATATGTCACTGTCCATCTTGCAAGAGCTATGTTTAATGGCTGGATGGGAATGTAGGAAGGATGCACAGACCTGCCAGCCTCCAGGTGCTGCTCGGTCAAGTCATTGTCTCCAGGCTGCCTTGGTTCACAGCTCTGCAGTCTTTGGCCATGACACGCTGCTGGTATGATTCAAATTTTCTAAAGGTGTCAGTCCCTGCTACTTAGTAAAGGTAAAGGGACCCCTGACCATTAGGTCCAGTTGTGACCGACTCTGGGGTTGCGGCGTTCATCTTGCTTTATGGGCCAAGGGAGCCAGCGTACAGCTTCCGGGTCATGTGGCCAGCATGCCTAAGCCACTTCTGGAGAACCAGAGCAGCGCACGGAAACGCTGTTTACCTTCCCGCCGGAGCGGTACCTATTTATCTACTTGCACTTTGACGTGCTTTTGAACTGCTAGGTTGGCAGGAGCAGGGACCGAGCAACAGGAGCTCACCCCGTCACGGGGATTCGAACCGCCGACCTTCTGATCGGCAAGTCCTAGGCTCTGCGCCCCCCGCTACTTACTTATGCGCTAATGCAGAATTAAGGGACTCATGGTAGGGCAGTGCTTGTAGGAAATGCTCATTATTGTATTTCTTTAGCAGTTAAAATATTCATTTTTTTATCATTGGACTTGTTTTTCCCACCAGGGCAGTAAAAATGTCACCATGTCACCACCATTTGCTATTTTTTTTAGCACCACCACTGTTGACTCAGGTTCATCTTGGGATCTAGATCCTTTTCATACCTGCTGCAGCCAAGCCAGGTCGCCCCCATCCTATGCTTGCTGCTTTTCATTCTTGGTCCCTGAATGCAGGACTTTACAGTTATCTCTTTTGAATTTTGCCCTGACTTCCTAATTTTCTTTGCGCAGCGAAGGATTTTCCCCTGCCTTCCATAGGGAAGCAATTCAAAGTTCAGTCCCCCAAACTTGTTGTTCAAGTGGTATAGTCTATGAACAATGTAATCATGCAACCTCCTGTTTGTATAGTCCAGTTTTTATTATAAATAGCCCCTTTGCCTCATGATCTATCCTTATTTTGCTGCAATTATAGAAAGACCAAAAACCTCTTCAAATGGAAAAATGTAAAAAAAGAAGAAGTCAATAATGTTGTACTAGAGAACAACATTTCTGATTCTGGGTTTAGACAGACTTGAGAATGCTATCTTAAAAGAAAATCTAACAACTGGGTGTACAGATTTTCAACTTAACACACCCCCATATATGTTTTCCTAAAAGTTTGTGACACATTGAGATTAGAAAAACCTGAAATTGTTATTAGCATGGGAAGCTATGGTGTGAATTGTAACCTGCCTGCTGTGTCGATAAATTGCCAGGCATAGCACCAACACCGACTATTCAAATTTGATGGAACTAATTTCGCATATCTTCATTTTTCAAATGTCAACTATCATGAAATATTAACCAATGCTAAACAGCGTTCTCAAGGCTCTTTGAGCTTAGTGTCTGCATTCAGATGCAGTCATTTCATTGCATCAGATTCAGATGCACGGAATTGCTTTGATTATACCAATAAAGGGGTGGGGAACCTCTGGCCCATGGGCCTGATTTGGGCTCTTCATTTGGCCCCTCCCCCCAGCCCATTTTGGCCAAGCAGTGCACACCTGCTCTACAACTCACTTCCTAGAACATGTCATTAGACATTTCTATTCTTAATGCTCATATGTTTGGCTTGAATTTAGATTGTAAATCTGACTTCAGTCACTTTCTGCAGAAAAACAACTTCTTCAAATGACAATTCTTGCTAACAAGCCTTCTCACCACTTTCTTTTGATTCTGCCACTCTGGGGCACTATTTGAGGGAGTGGGGAGAACTAGCAGCTACTGCATGGAGCATAGAAATGAAGGGGGAAGCATGCAGAACGTTGTTTAACCTACCTGATTATCTCCTTGCCCTTATATCCCTGCCTGATCACTGAAGTCTTTGGAGGAGTCACTGTTAGTGATTCCCCCATGAATGGGATGCACAGCTCCTATACACATTGAGCAGCGTGTTTAGTATTATGTGGTCAATTTTATGGAACACCCTTCCATTGCGGTCAGACAAGCCCCTCCCTATAAACTTCCAATGCCTACTGAATACTTTTTTATTATTCCAATAGATTTTTAATTGAAGCTTGATCTTATAGTTCTATTTTTGGTACTGCATTTTTGTAAACAGCTTAGTAAATTGTTTAAATAAATAAAATAACATAACATAATGAATGCACATTTGTAGCACATGATAGCCTTGACTGCTGGAAAAGTATTAGTTAACATACATGTCCTAGCTATAGGCAGCTCTGAAACTGAAGGAAGGGTGCATTAAGGGAAAATGCAAACGGACAGGATTCTAGGGTGTTCCACTTAACACCCCCCCCCCAGGTTGGGATTGCTCTTTGTGTAACCTAGAGCCTAGATCCAAATCTGGGGTTCTTAGACAGTCCTCTAGTATGACAAAGGGTTTGACAAAGTCAGTGATGGGGTATCAGTGGATATTTGTGTGTACTCATGTTCCCTCTGATTTTCAGAAACGTGAAATACAAATTTTGTGATCTGTTATTTGAACTGGAATGTCAAGTTTGCACAGCGCCTATTAGAAATTTCCTGAAGAAAATATTTCATTTCGTATCAGAATGTGATGGTAGTGTTGCTATTATATTTATTTCACTTGAATGCCAGTTTCAATTTATTCCAGGCTTTCCTCATTGTAGTATGAGAAGTCTGCTAGCTCTTAATTTTCAGCAAATGGCTCACCATCGACAAGCCCCAGGCTAACATGTGAGCTGTGAGGCAGTGGTCAGAAAGAGCACTTCCACCCTGCCTTGAGTTCACCTGGGATTGCTTTTAATCATGTCCTTTACTATTTGCACATTTCTGCTAATTCATTTGACAGCTTATAGTCAATGCTTGAGGTGATGTGCTTGAGATGATATATTCCAGTGAATGACAGAAAAATGAGCCGTTTGTCAATCTAGACTTATTTCTGAGGAATTTTATATATCCACTTATTCAAGGTCTGAATTACAAACTCAGTAGGTCAAGAGGTTTAATCAGATTTGCACATGCGAAGATGAAGATGGAAATGAAAAGCTCATTTTTCTTTCCTACCAGAAAAAGAAAGAAAGAAAATGTTATTCCATGGAGGCTGCAGCTTAGAACAGTCAGCTGGACTCTGTATATTACTGCCTCTCTTACCACATTTGCTCTTGAGAAGATGAACAGATCTGTTGTTTTCGGCTTCCTGATATACTAATGCGAAGTATTAGGGGAAACGATGTAGCTCAATTGTAGAGCACATGTTTGGCATGCAGGAAGTACAAGGTTTAATTTCTAGCATGAGTAGACGATCCACTAGATATTGCATTCTTGGAATTTCAAAAAGCTTCTGATAAAGTCTCTCACCAAAGGACTGGGTGAGAGGAAAGAGACCCTTATGGATAAGTAACTCACAGAACAAGAAGTAGCAGAGAGTAGGAATAACTGGAGACTTTGCACAATAGATGGATGTAACAAATGGGATCTCCCAATGATCTGCTTCGGGACCAGTGCTTTTTAATATGTTCATAAATGATTTGGAGTCAGGGATAATCAGTGACATGGCCATGTTGGTTGGTGACAGACAAAAACAAAAAGTGATTTCAAAGAACCCCCAAAAGATATTTCCAAACTGAGTGAAAAGGCAGCAAAATGGCAGATGCAGTTCACTGCAAGTGATTATGAAATGATGCACTTTGGAGCAAAAAATCCTACTGTCACTTCTATGTTAATGGGTTTGAACAGGCACCGACAGACCAGGAAAGAGATCTTGGGCTTAATGAAAATACTGACCTAGTCTGTTGCAGCTGTGATAAAGGAGAATCTCATGTTTGGGATTTTGGAAATAAAATTGATCCCTTTTGCATAATACTGGAACTTGAGGTCATCCAATGAAAGTGAACATTGGAAGATTCAGCACAGAAAAAAGGAAGGACTTCTTCAACTATAGTACAGTTAGCCTCTCATCCATGGAAATATCTGATGAAAATCTTGTATGAGCACCTTTCACAACTACACTATGACCAGTTTTCAAACTGTATTTTCAAAATGTAGGCTACGGGTAGAATCTAGAGAAACAAAACAAGCCCATCCTTATGTGAATATGTCTATGGGACTTCAGTATCCTTAATATTCTGATTTCATTGAAAACAACATCCATGTTAATTCATTTGGCATGGCTTCTTCATTTAAAATTTTAAATCAGAATATACACATGCTACGAATGAAGTCTTCAGTTAGTCCAAGATACTGATAAAAATGGGGAAAATTGTAAAGAAATATTTTTTATTAAATCTGAAAATGCAGTAAACAGTGTTTCATTACAGACCAAAGTGAGAAATACAGATCAGCTAATGTTATACATCACAAACAACTTCAAGCCTTTTTCATATTGATCACTGGGTTTTGTTGTTGTAGATATCTTGTATGTTTGCAACTCATACAGATATACTGGATTTTCACAACAGATCCCTGCAATACAAACTAGCTTTCTTTTTCTTTCTTTCTTTTTTACAATTTTGGCTCTCTTCTGTTCATTTTGGGGACATCTTAAACGCAAATATGCTTTAAAAAAAGAGAAATAAATCAATTATATTTACATTTTAAAGGGCAATTCATTATCTTTCTCAATAGAATTCATTTTCAGAGATGACAGGTGCCAATATGTGAAAGGGAGGAAAGTCTCTGACCAGCAATGGCTGCTTTGTTTTCAAAAGTCCAATGGCTGCTTGTTGGCTCCATTTAACAAAATACTCAGGAGCTGAGTATATAAACCAGAATCATAATCTTAGTTGTCATTATGTAATCTTCAGAGCCGTAGGTATACATCCCTCTGGAGCTTAAACCTGCAAAAAGAAACAGAGATAGAAAAGTACACTCAAATTCACATGCTCGAGGCATTATTGATAAGAGCTGGTTTTAATGTGCTTAATAATCACCATGCTTTACTTTGCATGTTTCCCTCCACCCATCATTTTGATTATTTTTTTTCTTCAGGAGGATGAGGCCTAATACTATTAGTTGACTATGATGGCACTTTGAGAAGCACTGTTTCGTTGCTCTGTTTCATTCCACCATTGGTGAAAGACTTGCAACTGTACAGTTCAATGCATAAAGTATAAAGTACCTAGGACAGGCATAGGCAAACTCTTCCCGCCAGATGTTTTGGGACTACAACTCCCATCATCCCTGACCACTGGTTCTGTTAGCTGGGATCATGGGAGCTGTAGTCCCAAAACATCTGGAGGGCCGCGTTTGCCTATGCCTGACCTAGGACATTCAACCCACAAACCAGTTAATATTTTGTGTTTGGATTTCAGTCAAGGAAAGCAGTGGGGCAATTAGATTATTCTGAACTCTTGACTTAATTATATTACAAGGGAAGCCCACACCCCTTAAGCTGGAAATGTATATCACTTTGCTTACAGCATGCTTGCCAGGTGTTGAAGTATTTGGGGCCCTCATGTTTATTCAGCTGTGTAGGTACCTGGATTTCTGCCCCAAAGTCTTATCCTGATGGTACCATTCAATAGAACAACACCTGCTTTGCAACCTAACTCTACCCATATGAAACTGCTCACCCACCAAAGTCTTTGGAGGGTCTGTGGTCGGGTCATCATGCCTCCTGCCTGGGGGGAACGAGCCCTTGCAACTGACTTTCTCAAGATGCACATTTCATAACTTCTATTTACTTTTCCTAGTGAATGGCCATGTACTGCTCCCAGGCCTTCTATGATAGTGGAGTTGGTTTTCAGAGCCCCTGATGCTGTATATTTTTTTTAAAAAAAAACCTTTTAATGCGCTATTATTTATTTAATTAGACCATTTGCATCTGCCCTTCATCCAAATATTTTAATGCGGGAAGAAGCAGAAATCCATACAAAGTGAGATCGCTGCTTTGAATTTGCATTTTGTAATGTGCCTCTCGTTCTTTTACTTACATTTTATACTTGCATTTTAACTTTAGTGAGCCACTTTGGTGGTTCTTTGGCTGAAAAGCCACCCAGAAATAAACTTTGGCATGACATGACATTGATGTGCAGTGGAGAATGACGGCTAAGCTCCCAGCCCTGGTAACGTATTATCTCCTTATTCCAGCGCTCTGTGCATTCTGATTCCCTATGCGGAGGCAGAACCAGCCATCAGTACCAGACTACTAGAGCTGGTTTAAAATAACAACTATTTAAGAATCATTGGAGGGCAGGGAGGATGTGGAGAGGACACCTGGATTTGCCCCCATGCTTTGCACCATATCCTGCCCCTGCCCCAAATCCCCTTAAGGCCCTCTTCAGTAGCTTTTGTTGAAACATGTACTGATTAGTACAGTGATGTACCCTACCTAAAGCTCCGTGTAAGGGTGTTCCTTCACCTCAATGAACTAAGCTCTCATCTCACTTCTGTACACTCTTTCCATTTCTTCTGTGCCCCTTTTGCACAGAATTGCCCCCTAGTCTCCATGTTCATGTTATTCCATCTTTATCTTTTGCAATACCCTCTCATTGTTTCTCCTTTCGCCTCCCTTTTGTTTCTTTTCCAGTTGAACGATTCCCAGTTCCCACAGTTCACACATGCCTGTTGATAAATTGATGGCCACAAGCAGTGCTTTTTTGGGGGGGACGGGATGCATACCCCTAAACATTTTGTGAATCTAAGTTTGGTCTCAATATGAGTAGAAAAATGAGAGTACCCCCTAAACATTTTTTAGCACTGGCCGCAGGTGTGAATAGGTCATGAGATTTTTTCAGTACAGTTAGTTCACAGGTGCAGGTGCCTATAATTGTGTGTGGGGAGGAAACCAACCCCTTGTTTTGCATAGGAACAGGCAAACTGTTTCTTCGTCCTTCCATCTCCCCTCCCCTTCAGTTAAAATAAATAACTGGGAGCCTGTGGGCAGAGACATTGGCTGTTTAAACCTATACACAGTCCTCAGTATATTTTAGGAACCTTTAAAATAGTAAATAACGAGGATTATTATGCTGAAGAGTTTAATTTCAACCCGACCCAGTAACTGATTTCCACACAGCTGCAGCCTCCACTTAAATCAGCAAGCCGCAGATCCGCAGCCCCCTGAAAATTCTGCTGCATTTCCCCCCTCATGTTAATTGGTTTTCCTTTTTCCCAACCAGGCACGTAAGAGACTGTTCCCAGGTTTACCTGGTACCATAATATCAAGTTAGTGTCAAAGGTCTATCCAGCTTTAGTTCTTCCCAGCAGTCAAGGGACCACAGCAACAGTGTTGGGGAAGGGGGGGGGTGAGGTAACTCACTGGACATGGTTGGAATCCTAATTTCCTCACTGCTGCTCCCTTCCCCTCCATCGCTCACAGTTCTTATTTCTACGAGATAATCTTCTTCGAAAGGTACCAGCAGCTCAGCGGATGTACTGTTTGTCTCCAATATATGAGTGGTGCTTTGTCGGTTTTGCCTATACAGAATCTAAATATAAAACAAGAGAAGGGCAGGACCTGTCATATTATTGCCGCTTGCTTTTGTTAAGGCTTCTCCGCATGGTGGGTTGTGTTCTCAAACATTTCTGCAGCGTATTTTCAAGCACCCTGTGGGCACATTCAGCAAAAACACAGACCGCTCCAGTTGCTTACAAGAAATCCCTATGGAGATTCCCCATGTGGAATCTGAAGAGGTGCGCGGATATGTTCACAATGCCTCCCTGTCTTTCATGCAGCGACACATCTTCAACCTTATAATCCAGCACTTCTCGCTGTGTTCCTTGGAGCTTCTGGGGTTCCTTAAAGCAGCCCAAGGGGTTCCACAATGTAAAAAGTTGCCGTTGTGGACACATTTGCATAATGTGTGATTTCCATTGAACCGTAGCCATGAGAGTTAAATGCACTTATTTCCTTCCTGCTCAGAGCTTTCCAATGGCTAAATCAGTAGCAGCCAGATGGGCTGTGTGGGCAGAGCAAATCTGCTTACCTGGTTTGCCAATGCTACACCAATCTGATGTTCTCCACCACTTCATCCTTCTTAGTAACTGGCAGTGGAGTGCAGTGTTGAGAAGTCAGGTAAGCAATGCAGCTTTGCCTGCACCATTTGCTACTGGGTTAAGTGCGCTGCTCAAGCCCTTGTCACAGGAATTCCTTGCCTCCTTGTAAGTGCCTTCCATTGGAGCCAACTCCTAGGGGCCAAGGTCCCTTTGAACCCACCCATAAAATGTTTCAGGGGGCATCCCTCCCCCAAAGTTAATGGCCATTGTCATTCAAATGGTGTGTGTGATCAATGGTGTGTGTGATCATCTTGTGATCAATTATGTGGGGTAGGGCTTACCTTCCCCCCAAATAATATTTCATTCAAGCTGGCACCAGCTCAGCTAAATACATATATTTCAAGGGGCCAGATACATGAATACTATTTGCAAAGTAGTAGAGATTTGTTATTGCCCCATGTCAGAAAGAATGGGGGAACCAGTTCTTTGATAATGGCACCATTTTTATGTTGTGATTAAGAATTAAAGAAGGCAGGCACAAAGTCAACCTATCTATTGATCTCACGATCTCACAGCTGACCTGTAGATAGGGATGTGGTGACAGACCATTTCTCAGTTGCCTAGCTGACAATTCCATTTTATGGAAGGTGGAATAAACAACAAGGGGGTGATCTCTCTTGGACCTGGTCCTCACCAACAGGGAGAAACTGATCGACAAAGTGGAACTACTTTGAAACTTTTGGAGGAAGTGATCATGTCTTCTTGGGCTTCATTATACCTGTGGTTCTCAAACTTCTTTCCTGTGGGCCACACTTTCGGAATAAAAATTTGTTTGGGACACACCATTTTTTTTATGGATAAGAAATATATTGGAAAACCAAAAGAAACAACTCCAACAGTGCTTGATTTATAACGCAGAACATCACTACTTTGTAATATAATTGGACATCCAGAATGTATAAAACATGAATCATTCCCAAAATAGAATTATAACCAAATCTCTTACATATGTACCTTAAGTATGTATACAAACTCAATGAGAGATGTGAGCTTGTAGTATCACTTGATGCTCTTTCTCTCATTTTGAAAAGGTTTCTATCCATATTCTACAAATAAAAACAAATTTATACTATACTAGACTTAAATGTTTAAATGTTTCTTTGATTATCTTGAATCTTCCAACCGCACTTGCCATCCTCTCCTGACACACTACACCCTTTGAAAAGCACTGCATTATACAGAGGCAAGGGAAAGCTGAGTGAAGTCGGACATGCATTCTGGACTTTAAGAAGGCTGATTTCAAAAATCTTAATGGAACTACTGGGTGAGATTTCTTGGTCAGAAATACTGAAAGAGAAGAAAGTCCAAAATGATGAATGTTTCTTAAAGCTGAACTACTGAGAGCAGAAATGCAGGCAATTCCAACAAGAAAAACAGGAGGCATCTGTGTCTGCATAAGGAGTTTACAGATAAGCTGAGATTTAAGAAGGACATGTATAAGAGATGGAAGAAAGGGGAATCATGAAGGAATAGTATACATGAGTAGCCAACAGTTGCAGGGAAAAGGTCAGGTGGGCCAAAACTCAGAATGTGCTCAGTGTTGCAAGAGAGGTTAAAAATAATATTAAAAGGTTTATCCAGCTATGTTTGAAACAAGAGGGAACAACAAGCAAGGAGTAGATCCTCTGCATGGAGAAGATGGAGAAATGTTAATGGGTGACAGAGAGAAGGTGGAACTGCTCAACACCTACTTTGCCTCTTCATCCAAAAGGAAAGCAATGCCCAACCTGGTGATAACAGAATAAACGGTGCAAGGAGGAAGCTGCAGCCCAAGATTTGAAAAGAGGTAGTAAGGGAACACGTATCTACCTTAAATGAATTTGCAGATGACACCAAACCGGGGGGGGGGGGGAGTTAATGCCACAGAATACAGAATCGGAATTCAATATGAACTTAACATATGGGAGAACTGGGCTCAAACTAACAAAATTAATTTCGGTAGGGAAAAATGCAAGATTCTAAACTTAGGCAGGAAGAACCAGCTGCACAAATACAAGATGAGAGACACCTGACTTACTGAAAAGGATCTAGGGGTCTTAGTATACCATTAACTTAAAAGAGTAGACAGTGTGATGCAGCAAAAAAAGCTAATGCTATTATAGGTTGCATCAACAGAAGTATAGTTTTTTTTTATCAAGGGAAGTAATAATACCACTCTATTCTGCCATGGTCAAAGCACATATGGAATAGTGTGTCCAATTTGGGGTGCTACAATTTAAGAATATGGACAAGCTGGAACATGTGTAGAGGAGGGCAATCAAGATGATCAAGCATCTGAAAACCAAACTTAGGAGAAATTGTTAAGGAAGTTGGGTATCTTTTGTCTGGGAAAGAGGAGATATGATAGCCATCTTCAAAAACCTAAAGGGCTGTCACATGGAAGATGGAGCAAGCTTGTTTCTTCTGCTCCAGAGGGTAGGACCTGAACCAATGGTTTCAAGTTACAAGAAAGAAGACTAGACATCAGGATGAACTTTCTGACAGTAATAACAGTGGAATAGACTCTCTTGTGAGGCTGTGGACTCTCTTTCCTTAGAGGTTTTTAAGTAACGGTTGGATGGTCATGTGCCATGGATGCTTTAGTTGAGATTCTTGCATTGTAGGGGTTTGATTACATGACTCTCAGGGTCCCTTCGAACTCTACAATTCTATGATTCTATTGGGTTAGGCAATGCTAGCAGATGCTACCACAAAGGCTTAAGCCATGTTGGATGGAGAAACAGCTGAAGGTATGAAGTAGGTGGCATGGAGGGAGTTACTTTGATAATCTGCAGGTGATCATTAGACCATGTCTTAGGCATGGTTGAACCTGATGTGCAAAGCGAGCCTATAACCAGTCCATCTAGTTCAAGAGAGGAGGCAGAGATAGAAACTATACCCTTCCTTATTCCCTCCCTTTCCATAGTACATCTCCACATGGCAACTGCAGGTGATAGTCATGTATCAGAGACAGAGAAATTGGTCAGATGTTTCCTCAGCACACTCTGCTCAGATCATGCATAGGGATAACAAGAATAAAGGGATCACTTCCCTTCTTATATTTGATGGCTCTCAACCCAGTTTGACTAACATGACTAACAAGATAAAGAGTCTCGTGATAAAGATCCTGTTATTTTGAACTGATTTTCTTATCTGATTCTCTTATAGACTGCTCTTAATCCATTTAGGATCATAGCATAATGTAGGTTCATAATACAATACATAATGCAATAATGCAATAATATAAAATACCATCCATAAAACCACGGACTACTAAACTTTAGTTAAAATCAGGAATTTACAACTCCTCTTGTGTTTCCTTGGGAAACCCATCCAGATGGGTGGGGTATAAATAATGATGATGATGATGTTGCCAAGTTCTCATTGCAACCTTAGATGGCAGAGTGGGGTGCATATGTATTTTCTTCATACAAACAAACAAACAAAAACCAAAACCCAAAAAAACCTATATATGTAGAGAACTAGATTCTCAGGGGAAAGGGTTCTAGCCTACCTTTACTATTCTAGTTTTCTACATGGAGCAGTGGTGGATTAAACCCACAATCTGGAGAACTGGTACAGCCTCATAGATTCACCGCAATGAAACCTATGTCTTCGACTGATGTGACTGATGACATAGGATATCTATCTGATCTTCGATGTATAGATGTGATGATGAAGAACAGCCTTTTGGTTCTTAATTTAAATTGTGGTCAGTAATCTCCTTTGTGGTTAAAGCCTCTGCATATACCATAGTCTTTGGAATGATATTTTCCATTTCAAAAATAACAACATTTGTGGCAGCATGATTTGCGTAAGACTCATTGACATTTTGTATTTGCGTTCACCACTTATGTCTCATGTGAAAACAGTTTTCTGCACTGACTACAGAGTCACTTATCTAGATTCCCTGGGATCTCAGGATAGTCCACTTTTATTATCTGAGTGCCCATCAAACATGGCACATGCTCTGTACTTGAATACATTTCACTTAAAAAGCTGATGAAGGAATATAATTGCTTTTTAGATCCAAATAAAAAATAGCAATATTTTACTTAAAATACAGCCACTCACAGGAGTTCCTATGTTTAACATACTTACTTTGTAGCCTAGTACTTCAGACTCATTTTCCATAGTTTTCACATGCTCCCAGTTCAAGCATATCTTCGAATTTGTCAGTTTCCAGGCAATGTTGGCTGGGCGTTGACTTGGGGCTTTAATAAAAGATAAGGACAATATGCATCATTTCCAGACAGAAGCTGCACAAACTGTTAACATGAAAAGTACTCAGATATGACTGATTCAAACTCAAAGTAACTATTTAAAGACTCTTATTGTAATCGCCTTTCCTATGTGAAGCAAATTCTATTCATAACAGGCGGGGAAGAACAGAACCAACTGAGCAAAAAACTATTAACAAATTACATTATTAATAGAGCCCACAATCTGGTTAGCTGTATGCTTTTGCACCCAGATGCTGGGAAGATATTTCATTAAAAGTGCCACAGTTATTCCACAATCATTGGCCTGGAACGTACCATGTAGCTCAAACCAGCTAGGGAATGTGATGCTTGCCACACTCACCAAAAACATTTGACTCATAAAGCCCTGCAAGTGGCAATATGTTATGATGTGCTTCCCCGTCCTGGGAATTGTATAGTGAAATAAATGCCAACCCTCATATACCTATGTGGCATAGCTGTCAACGTTTCCCTTCTTTTTAAGGAGGAGGAGTCTGGATTTGATATCCCACTTTATCCCTAAAGGAGTCTCAAAGCGGCTAACATTCTCCTTTCCCTTCCTCCCCCACAACAAACACTCTGTGAGGTGAGTGGGACTGAGAGACTTCAGAGAAGTTTGACTAACCCAAGGTCACCCAGCAGCTGCATGTGGAGGAGCGGAGATGCGAACCCGGTTCCCCAGAGTACGAGTCTACCGCTCTTAACCACTACACCACACTGGCTCTCTTCCCTTATTCCGAATAGGATTCCTCGCAAGAAAAGGGAAAAGTTGACAGCTATGCTATATGGGTACCCTTTCTTTTTCTGTACAGTGTCCCTGGTTGATTTTCAGGGGTGCCGTATGTGGAGGGAGGGAAGGTGGCCACCCCCATAGGTATATGGAGGTTGTCATCTTTTTCTCAAGGAATGTCTTTTAGAAAGAACAGATAAGAGGAGTCAATTAAACCACCTCACTAAAAAAATAAAAAGGGGGGGGGAGAGAAAGCAAGCTGGAACAAATCATGCCTGGAAAGGGTGTACACATGTGATCTAAACTGCGTGTCCATGTTTCAATCTGAGCATAATTGGTGGGCTATAAACCATGCAGGCTTGCTACAAATTGTGGAGGAAACCAAAATCTTCTCCCATCTCTAGTGAACAGAAGTGCCTGTTGTGGGTGGGCGCAGGGCAGGGTTGTTGGTTTTCAGGGAAAACTAGTAGGGTGGTAGGGACAGTGGAGGCATCTGGAACAGATGATTTGAAGCCAGGAACTCTTCTTCAGGTCAGACTTCAACAGAGATGGAGAGGGGCTTGTTTAGTCCTTTGAGCACCTGTTGCTCATTTCCAGGCCTGATTCTGGTAAAAAAAAATATCCCTCAAGCTTTGAATGCCCTGTGTGTGCCATTTCTTGGGGTCTTGGTTCAAGAGGTACCGAGACTAGATTCTTACTGGGTAGCCACTGCCAACTAGTGAAATATATTATCTACAGTACATGCCTGCGTAAGTGGAAAGGCATAAATATATCTTACTCCATAAATATTTATTTCACAAAGATAGTTGGAAAATTCTAGACATATTTCTTAGCTCTGATCTGATTTTATTTAAAAAGACACAGAAGAGTTTTGATGAGAAACAACTAAGCAAATGATTAAAGGTAATTGAAACAGTTTCTTTTTGTTCATATAAAGACTGACCACAAGTTCACAGCTGGAAAAAAATATACAAAGTATAACCAGATTTCTTACTATCTCCAAAGTTATATGGTGCACATTCCCACACATCATAGTTCTGTGAAGTAGGAAGATAGAACTGTGTGGAAGGATACTTATTTGAGCCTTCTATAGCTGGCATTTAAGCCAATGACAAGCTTCCCTCAAGATGCCTGGTTTTATTTCATTAAGTCCTCTTCAGAAATTTCCCTCCATCCATTCCAGCTCCACCCTCCCAACTTCCTTGCATTTGGTGGAGGGCCTGCCCACCTATATGCATTCAGGTGTTCTCCATGTAATTTGGAATCCAAATTGTGCAGATGAACCTTAATTGTGTATTCAGCTAGAGGTGTGTAGGTTCTCCCTGCTGAATATGCAATTCAAAAAACAGGAAGAAGATCAGACTGCATGGAGATTAGCAGATGGTCCACATTGTCCCATTCCCACACAACTCTCCCATCAATGCATCCATGAACATGTGAGGATATAGTTCTTTCTGGAGAGGACTATATTACATTCTACTATGTTATACTGAACTTAACTATCCAATAGAAGGATGCAACAGATGACCTTGTTAATGAGTCTTCTGCAATTTCAGGTACCATCTTGTATGAGAGGTACACTTCATATACCTGTGAAAGACTAACAGCACAATCCTATGCATGCTTCCTAAAAAGCAAGTCCTGCTGTGTTCAGTAGGCTGATTTACTAGCAAGTGTGTTTAGGATGCAGTTTAAAAATATAAAGCTAGAAAAGGTGAAATCGAAACAATCCATAGTTCACTTTACTATGCAAGTTAGTCCACAAGTAAAATCCATTAGTTGTGTTGTTGTTGTTGTTAATAGTTTGATGTTTTTTGGTCTGATTCTCACTTCCATGGCCTTACTAAAATGCAATGGGTTGCATCTGGGAGTGAGAATATAATAATAATAAATGTAAAAATCACAATTTCTTGCCCTTTCCTGATGTCAAATTCAGTTTCCTGAGGTGGCCATCTCATTCTGCCCAATGATAGGGCTGGGCCAGGGACGAGGGTATCACCTCCCACACTGTTCCAGAGTATCCTCCAACCCCACAGAACAGTTTTTCTGGACATACAGGGGGCTGCAGGGGGAAGAAAGAATCAATGAAAAAATCACTTATACCCCCTACTTTCCTCTGTTGAAGCACCCTAGAAGCAGCATTTGCTCATGGAGACTCTGAATCCCACCCATTTTATGGATTTGTTGTTTCCCCCCATTTTTATGATACTTCCTCCACCCAAATTCTATATTCTCTTCTATCACTGAGTGTAAGATATGGAAAGTGTTTGAAGTCCTCATCCCGTCCACTCCCTCTTTGATGTGCACTATGCAGAAGAGTGTTTATAAGGATTCTGCATGCATTAAAAATGAATAACCACAAAACACCCTTTACCTGTGCATTAGTGGCCACCTCTCCATACGTAACCTAAAAAGGAGAAAGAGTTAAACGAAAAAGGGCAAGGTGATGTTCCAGTTAATTAAAAGGTATTACTGGGGACTCACTATTTCTCGTAAGCCCAAGGTGATTTTGAATGAGAAGGATGAATAGTAGGCTCATCAAATCAATGGAAGATAGGTGGAGAACATTGAGATATTTTCACAGAGGACTATGAACACCATTCCAGCTCTCATGCATTTCCAATGATGCTTAATCAAAGAGGGAAACTGAGGGAATATTTACACCATATTCTAATTTTTCCTCTGGAATTTTAAGGTATGTCAGTTTAGACTCCTCACAATACATCACAGTTCAATTGTGATGTGATTCTTCTTGGCTGCTAGGATATTCTCTTTCCACACTATTTTGAAGTTACAGGTTGTACCAGGCTTTTGTCTGGCACTACTGGGAGAAACTGAAAACAGATATATACTCATTAAACCCCATAAAAACAATCCAGCATTCAGGTGCACAAAGGCCTATTGAAATGAATGAGTGTGGAACACTTCTAACCCTTTGATGAACTATAGAATTTCTGCAGTAGTGCTATAATGAAGCAGCCACGCTCGTTAGGCCAAAATGTTATTTTCCTCCATTTTTAACAATGGAAAGGAAGAACAAACAAAAGGACCATCTCATATCCTCACCCTTTTCTTTTTCCTGCTATTCTTAAGGTGCTGAAATTTCTAATGTTACATGCACCTTGTTCAACTGAAGGTTAGTAGAAATTCCAGCTGTAAATGTGATCAAGCCTTCAAAATGACAAAAGGAGTATTTCCCAAACAAGTAACAAAATCCATCAAATGATACACATACTAGATCATGGGTAGGCAACTTAAGGCCTGTCGGCTGGATGCGGCCCAATCACCTTCTCAATCCGGCCCATGGACGGCCCGGGAATCAGCGTGTTTTTACAGGAGTAGAATGTGTCCTTTTATTTAAAATGCATCTCTAGGTTATTTGTGGGGCCTGCCTGGTGTTTTTACATGAGCAGAATGTGTGCTTTTATTTAAAATGCATCTCTGGGTTATTTGTGGGGCATAGGAATTCGTTCATATTTTTTTTTCAAAATATAGTCCAGCCCACCACATGGTTTGAGGGACGGTGGACAGGCCCATGGCTGAAAAAGGTTGCTGACCCCCTATACTAGATTCTATTAAAAGGATTGGACTTAATTCATTGATTTAGAACTGCTTACTGTTAGCAGAGGTGGATTTAGAAGAGCACGACCAGTTTGGTCACACTGGGTGCTGAGCATTGGGGGGCACAACAGAGGATGCTGCAATTATTATTGAGAATGGAGCATGAGAAGCAGGGTGTGTGTGCCGAATGTTGGTGTTGTATTATGAGACCCCCTAGTCTGCTGCTGCTATTAAGTGCACATATCTTCCATGCAGGAATTTTGTAACACAAGGTAGCCCTCAATAAGAGTTGAGCAAGAGAAGAATGGAAGAGTATTCTGGCCCATGCTTTCGAAAAGTACAGCTCCCCAGAGGTGCATCTGTAGAGAGCTTTTGCAATAATTCCTGTAGAGAAACTGCAGACCTGTGGCAACTCATTTCCTAGACAGGAGCTGTTGAAAATTAGTCCAAGACTCGAAACAGACAGAGGTGCCTGCCATTTCCATCTGAGTTGGTTGTCTCCTAATCCAAGATGTTGCTTTCTTAGGGGTCTGCCTTGCACAGCTGCCTGTACTACCAGGAAGGAAGGGTAGCACTTGGACAGCAAAGAAATATGGTGGGCTGGGCACTTCATGGTGACCCACATTAATCCCTTTGAAATTTTGTAAATTGCATGGTTTACTTCATGTGGTGAAGTGAACTGACTGGTGTACTGCTTGCGATTATTGCTTTAATCGTGTTGGGAAAGCTGGGTGCCCAATCAGTCTCTGAATGAAGGGGAGGACTTTTCATTTAGTAACACACAGACATATTTCCAATACCCATGCAGTACTTAAGCACTGCATTTTTTTAAAAAAAGGTGGCAACTTTATCAGTTATTGTAGTTCAGCATCCAATATCATCACTTCCTTTTGAAATATAGGACAGACATACTAGTTGTGGAACTTTATGATGCTTTTCTACTAGGCAGCATTGTGCTGCAGCAGGTTACTGTGAGTCAAGTGCACTTGTGCTTTTTTTAAAAAGTCATTGGCTGTTTAAGATACTCACGTGCTTTTTTTGTAGTGACGTTAACTGGGACACTGGATGGTCCAGTCCCAGCTGTGTTGAAAGCCCTCACTGTGGCAAAATACATTGTATTGGCCCTGAGGCTGGTGATATTTTTGGCTGTGATGTTGCCGTTGACTCTGACTTTGCCAGTTGCAGAATCCTTTGAGTCGTCCATCCAGTACAAAACCTAAAGTTTAAGAGCAAGGGTTCATTGCTTTTTCTCCAATTACAACCTTGATTGGAAAGAAGACAAGTAGACAAGTAATGCTTCAAGAGGGACAGCTGATTTTGTAATTGAAGCTGTCAGGATATAAAAGCAGGCATGAATATTTATAGCATTTCTTGCATCCTGAATACAAACCAGGGGGGGAAAAACCTACACATAAACAAATTAGGACTCCTTTGCTTTTATAGCTATCCAAAGGGGAAACTTTGATAAGGTGAGTAATGCTTAAGAGCTTGTCGATCTATAATTAAACCATGAAGGAAAAAGGAAAAAGAAATGAAATGAAAGAGGATTCCTAGAGAGATCTTAATTATTATGTTTCTTGCCCATGTAGTTACAATTCAATAACTATTGACTTAGGCCTCCCTTTGAGCTCTAACAGTTGTTTGATGTGGAAGAGCATGTGCTTTCTGAACTAGACCATCCACTCTGAGGTTCAACAGCAAATGTAGTTACAGTGGCACCATCCCCACACAAGAGGAGGTTTCAGCAGGCTTGGGAACATAGGAAGCTGCCTTATACTGAGTGAGACCCTGACAGCAGCTCTCCAGAACTTTAGACAAGAATACCTCCCAATCCTACCTGGAGATGCCAGGGATTGAACTTGGGACCTCCTGCATGGAGAGCCCATTCACTACTACAGTGGTACCTCGGGTTACATATGCTTCCGGTTACAGACTCCGCAAACCCAGAAATAGTGCTTCAGGTTAAGAACTTTGCTTCAGGATAAGAACAGAAATTGGACCTTTTGGGCCCTTTTTGTGTGCGAAGTCAAGGTTTGCAAAACTGCAAACTATCTTTCCACAAACCCTGCAGAACAGCTCCCCCCGCCTTGGGATGGGGGGAATGGGGATACAAGAGAGAGGGTAATAATTCCATGAGTGCTACGACAACATTGGGTGCAACCCATAGCTATTAAAAGCTATTAAAGTAAGGAATCTAAGAAAGAAAATTGTTTATCTGGTTTGAGATAATAGAATGCACAGACAGTGCAATTTGCTACCTCCCATTGCCAATCTGTAAGCTGCCCTCCAGTGAATCATATTTAAAGGTAAAGGTAAAGGGACCCCTGACCATTAGGTCCAGTCATGGCTGACTCTGGGGTTGCGGTGCTCATCTCGCTTTATTGGCCGAGGGAGCTGCCGTACATCTTCCGGGTCATGTGGCCAGCATGACTAAGCTGCTTCTGGTCTGGCAAAACCAGAGCAGCACACGGAAACGCCGTTTACCTTCCCACTGGAGTGGTACCTATTTATCTACTTGCACTTTGACATGCTTTTGAACTGCTAGGTTGGCAGGAGCAGGGACCAAGCAACAGGGGCTCACCCTGTTGCGGGGATTCGAACCACCGACCTTCTGATCGGCAAGTCCTAGGCTCTGTGGTTTAACCCACCGCACCACCCGCGTCCCCATGGAATATTTACAGAGATTCTAATTGCACAGGGTGAGTTTGTCTAAAAAACAACAACCCCAGAATCTTATTCAAAGTTGAAAGGAGATCAGTCTGTCTCCAAATAACCACATGCAAGGCATTGGACTAGAGGATATGTACACAAAAGCAGGAGAGGTTGAGGTTGAAAAGTTGTGTTGCAAGAATGCTGATGCTCAGGAGGCAGGAAACCAGAAAGGCTATTAATGAAATAGCAGAGAAGATGGTGTGTTGGAAAGGAGGAGTCAAATAATGGGATAAAACGATCTTGAAAATCTGGAAAATGACAGTTAAAAGTGGAGCTTGATCAGAGAGGGACAAGAAAGAATGGACGTGAAATGTTGGCATACAGCAAGTGAACAGAAAAGGTTACAGTAGAACCTAGGGAACTGTGGGGCAAAAATAAAAAGGAACAGAAGGGTAAGGTAGTATATATCTATAGATGAATGAACCAGCTATATTTGACTACAAAAATCTAATATGAAGTGTCCCACCTCATAGCCAAGAACCCTTCCAGTATGTCTGTTCCACACAACAGGATTCCAAGAGACTTCTATTTCTGAGGCTGAGAAACTTTGTACAATGGTTCCAGTTGGTGCTATCTGTGGCTCTGGGAGAGCAATAGTGGCACAGAAAACACACATTTTAGAGACCACGATGTAATACCAAGTTGTTATAATGAAAACTAAACAGAAGGGGTTATAAATCTGCAGAAATCATGAAAAGACTGATCTCTCACAACTAAAGACTTCCTGTGGCATCCAACTTCTTATGATGTAGTGAATTTAGCTATTGAACCACCATGACATTATTGCACAGCAATGCATCCATGCCGCTGTCTAGGATGTGATGTCAAACGCTTCACAATATGGTTCGGATATCAGTTACACCAAAGTAAGAAGACCCAACAATGTCATAAATGGTAAGACATGGATGATTTTGCTTACCGTCTTCTCCAGAGTACACAATATATATTGGGCTCATTGTGCCTACTCCTTCATGATTGAAGACTCCCACTTTCACTTCAAAAGGGAATAAGGGTGTGATGCTTTCATTTCTATAGATGTATTTGGATGCCTCCACTGAGGCAACCACTGCCTTTGTCCAGCTTGCAGAGCCCAGAGGCCGGAACATAATAATGTAGCCAAAACCTTCCCCGTATTGTAGTTCCTCAGGAACTGACTGCAAGAGGCATAAAAATCAATCAATAACCACTTGCAAGCACTGTATATGCTGTTTTAATTGAATCTTCTCTCTATCAGTATATTTTAGATGTATTGATTTGGTTGACTGTGCTTCCAAGAAGATAATAATGTTTGCTCCATCAGTCAATGTAATATTGAAAATAACAATAAAAATAAATCAATTGAGGCAATCAATTTAGAAACAAAAGACCTAATCAGCAGCATTAAAAGCATGCACTACATTTTAAAAATTAGACTCATTTCATTATCATCTTAGTTGGCTTTTGATTTTCCACCATCCTACACACACTTTGGAGTGCTGAATTGCTAATTTTTAAAGAATTACAACAGAATGGAAGTGACTATTGCTATATAAGTGTACACCAACTTGGTGCATGCAACTTTGGGCCATGCTACATGAGGCACACTAGATTCATGAATGGACCTCCTGGTATTCTATTTTACTAAAAGAAGAAGAGTTTGGATTTGATATCCCACTTTATCACTACCTGAAGGAGTCTCAAAGCGGCTAACAATCTCCTTTCCCTTCCTCCCCCACAACAAACACTCTGTGAGGTGAGTGGGGCTGAGAGACTTCAGAGAAGTGTGACTAGCCCAAGGTCACCCAGCAGCTGCATGTGGAGGAGCGGAGACGCGAACCTGGTTCCCCAGATTACGAGACTACCGCTCTTCACCACTACACCACACTGGCTCCCATGAGAATGCAGTCCAAATTGGCAGGTCTGGGAAAAGGGTTAATCATTTTCCCATTGCCATTTCCCAGATCATAGTGCCCCAAGATTTGCATGTAAGTTTAGTGTGTGTCACCAGAACATAACCAGTATTTTTTTTTTTTTTTTGGTAGTTTCAACATTCTATAGTTTCAACATTGCCATGTTTCTATCTGTAAGTATGGCCAAAGCAATATTTCTCTTAATAAACCAAACGGACAAAATATGCACTGGTGACTATGTTGATATTATTTTCATGAGGGCGTCCTTTTCCTTATACATACTTTATGGAAAAAGAAACATTGGTGGAATATTGGAGCCATTAAGGCTTCACCTGTGCTTTTTAGTAAAACATCATAACCATAATCACTTCAAAGGAACCACTGCTTCAAAGGTAGAGGAAGGACATTAAAAGCCAAGTAAGTTGGTGAATCCTGAAATAAATTAGAGGAACTAATCATCTTTAGGGTTCATATAGACACTGCGGAATACAAAGGTATGTTCATGGGGATCAATATACAATGATACAATAAAGCACTGAGATTGGATTATCACAGTAAGAAAGTACCAATACTATGCCATTGAGAATTGGATATGGATGGAAGTAGCTAAATGCATAGATAGAATGTTTTGTTTTGTTTTTAATTGCTTTTAGCATTCACTGCTTACCCTTGTGACAAGAAGTGGGTATACAGCAGTAATATTGATTTATTTACTGGACATACCAGAAAAGTAATCACACATTTGTGTTTTTTTGCCACTGTTCTTTGTTCAGACTTGCAATATATTAGAGAAACAGGAAATGTGCATATCTATCATCTGCCCATCTACCTAATGTCTCATACTACTTGCTGGATTATTTAATTTTGGGGAGATGCTCCCGTAATATTGAAATTATCCTGGCTGGTTGATCAATTAATCTCAGTAAAGCAGAATTGTGGTGTTCTGTTTTGCAAAATAAAAACTCAAGTGTTAAAATCCAGTTAATGTGCAGCATTTTTGAAACTTGCATGTGCTCTGAGTCACTTTTCTAGCATAAAGCATTTAGAGAAATATGATAAAAGAAATGCTGCAGTGTACTCTGGGAAATACATTTTTTTAAAAACCCATAATTTATAATGTGGCACAATTTTCCAGTATTCATATTCCTTTAAACCGAAAGGTACAAAGTTACTGAATGCTAAAGAGAGAGGTCTTTTTTGTCATTTCTGGAAATCTTTCTGAGACCCCAAAAGTCCATCTTCCTGCCTAAGCTCTTTTCCTTTCTCTCCCTAATAAGTCAAAATACTCTCTTTGTTCCTGGTCTCTTTTTCGGGGGTGATGCACAGAAAGTAACTGTCAGTTGTCAAGTCAATGGGAATAAAGGACTAGCACATTTTACATGTTCCCTGTCACATGCTGACAGAGAAACATTTTCTCTCAGAAGGTGGGGTGTAATGCAGCTGTTTGTTAAAAGAACACAGCTCAAATGATGCACTGGACTCTTGCCATACCCATCTTTGTAAAGTAAATTCCGAGAGCGAGGGCAGCATAAGTGAACTACGAACAGAAAAAGTTTGTCACTTTATTTGTGCCAACTTACACATTTTGCAATGAAGAGTGTTCTT